CTATCTTGTATCTTTCTTCCAAGTTTATATGATTAAAGTATGTTGTTGACATGAATATTTAATCTGAGTTTTATGCAATCCATTTACGTATTTAGTAATGTATAGTAAAAAAAAATACATTGATTTACATTTTATTTGGTTGACTAACGTTCAGGCTTCAAAGTAAATCATGATAACTTGTACTTAGTTTACATAGCTGGTAACCCTACAATGTACCTGAGCTGAACACATGATACAATAGTACAATAGTAGCAGTTGGTAACTGTGTAATTAAATCTATATCTAATCATGTGATAACTTAGTGCTTATTAATAGAACCCTAATAAAATCCATCAAAAGAACAAGAAGACCCGTATAAAGTATTTATATTTTAATTTTCTATCTTTCACGTTTTTCTTTTTCCTTTTCATACTTTTCTTCCTTTTTATCTATTATTTTCTTTAAGATATTTGTCAGTATGCATATCTTTCGTATTATAAGCTATCTCAATGAACTCGTCAGTATGATTCACTGCTCTTCTTCATTGTTTATTCTAGACTAGGCCTAAGCTTAGCTTGAACTTAAACTGACCAAGCGAACATTACGTCTCGTATACCAGTGTGGAAAAACTGCGATCTACAAATTTCTTAAAGGAATTGCACACAGTCCCCCCCTCCCATTCCTTAATAATGTAACTATTAATAGACAGTTGTGACAAATGCGTAAGTTTTAAACCCCTAGTGGAGGAAGATAAACATTATACAAAAATATATATTATTTTTCAAAAAGATAGAAAGTGGTGCCAACTAAGATATTTAGTAATTTCAATAATATTCTTTTAATCATTGAAGTTTCTTTGATTCATTTCTTTTGTTAACATTAACAAACTTGATAATGATTAACTGATTAATCCTACCTGTCGTAACTTGCTTCCTTATCTAAACTCTCGCCAAGCTGTTCTTTGTTACTAATTCTACAAGATGAGATCATTTCATATCCACCCCCCGTGGCTCAGCGGTAATTTTAAGGGCTTATAACGTTAAATTCATGCGATGGGCACAACATAGATATCCCATTGTGCATATTTGCACTTGACAACAACAAATAAATCATTTCATATATAAATTCTACCAATCAAGAATGCCTTGATACATTTAAAATATCCCCACCAGGAAAATTCTAATTGTACAACGTGTACAAAAAGTAAATGTATATATATATATATGTAAGTCTCGAAAAAAAGCAGGGATAAAAAGTCACGCTATTGACATTTATTAATCTAGAAAGAAAGTCCGAACCAGATGATATTGATAGTATCAATATGTGTCGAAAGGGAGATATTTAACGATTGTATAAAATAACCATAGAAGCGTATTGAGAATCTGTTTTTTTAGGGGGAGGGGGACTACTGACAATATATTGTAGTAGAGCTGCTGGTAGTGACAGTTCTTCTGAGACCACAAGTGGATTTTGACTCAGAAATATTAAAAATAAATAAAAAAAAGCATTGATAGGACTGAGGATAAGTTTGCTTCCACGCAGGAGTGGGTTACCGTTATCAATAGTTTTGATAACACTGTTTACCCATCACCGAACTGCTGCCTACGTTAGTGCCTAGAATCTAAAATCATATCTTTTTTTTTAACACATAAAATCAATCTGGGACAGTATACAATATTTTAGATATTCGCTGGTTTCACTCAAGTAAAAGTATCCCCGCATATAAAGAAGCGTCAAACGTTTCAAAATTAAAACATTTGCAAAGAAAAACACGCTCATCTGTTAACCATAAAGGAAATTTAAGTCGGTGCTCCTTGTTAACGATTTTTTTGTTTGTTTGGAATTAAGCACAAAGCTACACAATGGGCTATCTGTTCTCTGCCCACCACGGGTATCGAAACCCGGTTTCTAGCGTTGTAAGTCCGCAAACATACCGCTGTGCTACTGGGGGGGGTGTTTGTTTATAGTTAAGCAGAAAGCTACACTTTGGGCTATCCGTACTCTGCCCACAACGGGTATCGAAACCTGGTTTCTAGCGTTGTAAGTCCGCATACATACCGCTGTGCCACTGGGTGGGGGTTATTAAGGATAAATACATTAAAAGAAAATGTACTTTTAATCACAAACAGATGTGAATAATTTAAAAATAGTCAAGTACGTGATA